TATCTACAGCCCAAATGTCGTTTTAAACAAATCTATCTTGGTTTTGTAATTGCAAAACATGTAAGTAGTGTTATATATTTGCCAACTGTTATTCTGTTTTATAATTTGCCCTTTTCACTTAAAGTGGACCTATCATGCTATATTTGAATAATATAGTGTAGGACCATACCTATAGAAGGCATATTTATACTTTTTATTTTTCAAAATACCAAACAGATCATGCATTTTAGCCATTCCTCATTTCGCTCAATGTAACACTGTCTTTGCATGGGCTGATTCTGTGAGAACAGCACCATCTACAGGCCTGGCCTATGTACTACAGCGTCTCCAGCGCTTTCCAACGGCAATGTCCGTGGCTGTCTCCTCCTGATTGGTGGAGTTGGCCCAATAGCCGTAGCGCCACTTCTGTGACGTCATAGAAGTGTTCAAATCTGGATCAGTCTGTATCAGATCCGTTGCAGCCCCTTTTTAAGAGATTTGGGTATGGAGGAAAATAGAGAGGGTTGTGTTTTCTGACACTTGGTGAGTTCCCTGGAACACCGGGGACACATACTCATGTATACAAGACGTACAAAAGTGCATTTTGCATGATAGGTCCCCTTTAAGTCAAAGTCAACTTTATTGTCAATCTTTCAGTTTGTGTTAAGCTTGACAGAGAGATCGAAATACCGTTTCCCACAATCCCGAATACAATATCAAAGATATATAAAAATATGTATATACCTATATACACAATCAACAGACACATTTGTACATATAAATAATAATAATAATACATTTATTTTGGGGGGCGCCTTTCATAACACCCAAGGACACCTTACAGGGCATAGGGGCAATATAGGGAACAATTAAAACAGTGGATTTAGTGAAGTATCAGCCGGGGTAAGACAAGACAAACAACAGGAAATGGACTACAAAAGGACACAGGGTACAGATTATAAAGAAAATGCCAGTTTGAACAGGTGGGTTTTGAATGTTGTTATGGAATCAGACTGTCGGATGTGTAGTGGCAGGGAGTTCCAGAGTCTGGGAGCCGAGCAGCTGAGAGCTCGAGCACCCATGGTTTTGAGGCGATAGCTGGCGATATGCACACATTAAGACATAAATAAAAGCACAACAATCAATATATACAAAATAACAGTCACTTCAATAACTTTGAGAAATGTGCATTAGTGCAAGACTGTCCATAGCAGCGTAGAAAGTGTCTGGTGCTGGATTTGAGTGTCTGAGTGTGTGTGGGGTGGTAAAGGGGACCTATCATGCAAAATGCACTTTTTGATGTTTTTTGTACATAACTATGTGTCCCCGGTGTGTCGGGGAATTCACCCAGCGTCAGATAACAAAACCCTCTCTCTTTCCCTCCGTACCCACATCTCTAAAAATGCTGATCCAGATTTTTTATATATCTGAGACCCATAATAATAATAATAATAAATTCGATTCCTAAAGCACCTTTCATTGCTCACAGCAATCCCAAGGTGCTACATGAGGCTTAATAAAAACAAACAAAATAAACAAAAGTTTAATCAAAAGCTTTTTTTAAAAGAAAGGTTTTTAAGCCTTTCTTGAAAGCATCAGTGGTCTGTGGAGTCCTCAGGTGGTCTGGGAGGGAATTCCACAGACAAGGAGCAGCTGCACAGAAAGCCCGATCTCCCATTGTGCAGAATTTATGCCTAAAAATAGCATAATAGGAGAGCTTTAAAGTCCAGGGGGAGAGGAGGGAGAGGTGGGAGAGGAGGGAGAGGAGGGAGAGGAGGGAGAGGAGGGAGAGGTGGGAGAGGTGGGAGAGGTGGGATGTCGACATTTAGCCATGTTTCCGTGAAAACGTACACACAGCAAGCCTTGGTATGATTGAATCTGATCTGATCCTTCTCTGCGTGTCTCAGGGGAACCTTCGGGGTGGTGAAGCGTGTCGTCCACAGACGGACGGGGGAAGTGTTCGCTGCTAAGTTCCTCCCTGTGAGGAGCAGCACTCGGACCAGAGGCTTCCAGGAGAGAGACCTGCTGTCCCGCCTGGCGCACCCCCGAGTCGCCTGCCTGCTCGACTTCTTCTGCACCCGACGCACTCTGGTGCTCATCACAGAGATGTATCCTTCCTGTTGTAACGCTACAACACAGGGAATACAGGCTTACTGAGTGTCAGCGCTGGCATTCGGCTTTAATGTCGTGACAATACGATTTACTGTTTTAGATTTAAGAGGTCAGAGTTATATTTGTTTACACAGCTGTAGATAAAGAAAGAAAGGGATCACCACAATCTGCAGAAACTACTAGAATCTAGGCAGCAAAAGGAGTTCATTTTGGGTAATTAACTACTCATTAATTCAATATAATCCAGCATCTATGAATAAACTATCCATGATAAAGAGGCATGTGTTCTATAAACAAAGTGGGGGTGGTTAGATTATGTTAGCTTCAAACAAAGCTAGCTCAAAACAATTTTGTAATCAAAAATAATCTTCTGCTTTGTAATCAGGTACATATAAATATCAATGGACCTTTGATTCTTTGGTAAATTGTGAGACTTACTGTTGAGTCCAACATGTTTGAGATGAAGCAGTTAATTGTATGTTTTACTTCAGTTTTTAGCAGATTTTGCGAATGTTATTTTGCCACCAATTGACGTCATCGCTTCACCTCAATAAAACGTAACATTGGGTTTAGTTGTGTTGAACTTCATTTGTATTCTGAGTTCTTTAACACGTTTTCTAGCTGCTGCTCTCATGGACTTCTGGACCATCTATTACTGAAAGGATCCGTCTCAGAGAAAGAGGTGAGAACTCACATTCATTCACAAAAACCTGGCTAACATCATGTTGATATATATCATATTATTATGGGTCTGGACTAATATTCTCCTCTTTATTTCAGGTCCAGTCTTACATCCAGCAAATCCTGGAAGGAGTCGGTCACATTCACAGCATGAACATCCTGCACCTGGACATTAAAGTGAGACTTCCTGTCTGAATGTTCATTAGTAAGCAGAGGTGGGAAGTAACTATGAGTACATTTACTCAAGTACTGTAGTTAAGTAAAATGTTGAGGTACTTTACTTGA